TATTTTTAGAATTCAATTTTATTTTTAATTTTATATTATTTAAATCATTCAATTTTTAGATATTACTTTATATATTTAGATAAAAGAAAATAATAGATCTTATTACTGAGACTATTATTTCAGTGACTAAAATTTTTAATAAATTACAATATTAATTTATTTATTTTACGAAAATATAATTAGTTTCATTAAAAGATTAGGATAAAATTAGATTTAAATTTTTTACAGGGAAGGTGCTTATTATTGGAGCAGTTTGGTATATAATTTTTTAATGACTATCATATACTGTGATCATTAAGTCTTTCATTCGAGAAAATATTTCAAAATCAAAATTAAATTCTTTATTTATTAAAGATATATAATCTACATTGTTATTATTAACAGAAGAGTCAGTATAAAATGTCAAATTTTATATTATAATGATGTGTATTCATTTGTATTTTTAATGTTAACATTAATGTGAAAAATAATCTTGTGTAATAGTAATATTATTATTATAAAAATTGGTTACATTCAAATTAAGATTTTCATAACAGTTTTAGTCTGTTAAGAAAAAAAACATATATTTCTAATAGATAAAAGGTTTATAATAAAAGGTTTATAATAAAAGTTTATTAATAAAAAGCATCTTTTATTTAAATATAATATACTTGTTATAAGAGTAAAGTAATTTTTCTTGCATTTTATCTATAGAAAAATTTGATCGTCATACAACATCTCTATAATAAATGGATTTGCCTCAATTTTAGTGTGACATGTACACTGACCGTTATAGTTTTTACTTTGCTCTTGTCAAGAAAAAACGACTCACCAATAATTGGTGTGAGGATCGTGTCAAGTGTTGATTGTTGATTGGTGGCGGTTTATTTGTTTGTCCGAGTGGTGCGTGATTTATGCGGATTACTGTATGTTTATCATAAAATGATATCGATATACCCACATGTAATTACATTAGGTAATAATGTTTTTAATACTAAAAATAATGCAAGAATATCTTTATTTAAAAGAAATAAAGTTCCTAATTCATTAAAGGAAACAAAGAGCTGCTAATGAACATTAAAAAGTTACAAAAATAATCCTAAAATTCGGGAGAGCATAAAAACAAATTGGCTACGCTTCAGTTTGAACATTATTTTTTCTATCATTATCAGAACTAATAAACTCTGTCCCAGCATATCGGTTAGTATCAATTACGGCAGGACGTGATGGGAACATAAATTCAGTTTTCTTATACTTCGCCCACACATACAACGTTCCCATTCTCGCCCCGAACGACACAAATGTCAAAACTACGGCACCAATAGGAGCAGCAAGAAACGCGCCAAGAACCGAGTAATCATCAACATAAAAAGAATTGGGAAGTTGAATAAGATTTATGCCGTCGTACGCGTTTCCGAAATAAATTGTACCGAAAATAAAGATAGAGAGTAAGCCGCCGATGCTGCCGAGTAACGCGTCAAGCCCGTTGATAAAATAGAGGTCATCGACGAGTCCTAATAGTACTGGTGGCATTGCTGCCGCGGCTACAAGATCGCCGATTAGAAATACTCGGAGAACATCTAGATTTTTAAGTGCGAAGAAAACTTTCCACATAAAAAATATCAAATTAATTTTTTCGTGAATTTGAATCAAAACAAATCAATGGGTTGTTAATGCTAAAATAACAAATTACCGACTGGAACGTTTAAAATGACAGTCAAAGATCGAATAGCAATTAATGGCAGTTTGTTAGCAAATAAGTCATTCGACATTGTAGATACCATTGCACTTTGCAAAGTGTCATATGCCGAACAACTCAATGCCACAGAAAGTACAACCACAATTCCGACAACCCAATCGGGAAGTATCGCAATCAGGTAAAAGAATGCACCTGCACCTGGTAAGTCATCGCTACAGCAAAGTTTTGCCCAAACCGCGATAATACCAGTGAATCCGACCAAAAAGAGAACAATAAATAACATAATTCCACCATAAACGGTTGATATCCGGAGTTCGTGATCATTTTTGGAACTGAATACCCGTTGCCAGTATCCCTTTAATAATGAAGCTTACATTTAGTCGGACAGTGTAAAAGAAATAATGATACAATTATTCAAATCAATACCTGATGAAAAAAATTGGCAAATGCAATAGCAACCGCTAATATATAAAGTAATTCCCAGCTAAGTTTGTTGGATTTTAAAAGGTCCGAGTCTTCTATAGCTGAACGATCGATTTTTATATTCGTACTAAATCCGATTGTTCCGATAAGCATTAGTATCATTATACAAACACCTTGCACATTATCGGTAAGCAATGATGCACGGAACCCTCCATATGCTTTAATTAGTAATTCAGTTAGTATCCCGAGAATGTGATAAACTGCAAGATAAGAAATAATAACTTACCGGTATAAAGAGTAGTAGTAACTGCTAATAAAATAATTGGTGCTAATTTATCGACTGGAGTCAACGTCATTAAAACAATTCCAATAGATGACAGCTCACTAATCATGTAACAAAACATGTATGCCATTGACATTATGGACATATAGATTTGGTTCCATTTGCCAAAACGTTCACGAATAAACTGAGTCAAAGTAAAGCCGTTTGGACATTTTTTACGCATGATTGGACCAATCCATGCAAATAAAAACAAAGGAGTTACACTGGTCAAAGCATAAAATATCACGCCGAGAATACCAACGATTGTTCCTATTTCCGGGTAAGCGAACAAGATCGAAGAACCAAGGTCTAAAGAAATTATCAGTGAAAAATGCTACTTTTAAGTTTGTTATAAAAAAAAAAGGTACGGCAGCTTCCCTACGCAGGTATTACCCTGATCAGGTGGTTAACGGTGCTTTCTCAGCCCGAGCCAAATTGATCACAACACCATCAATGGCCTGCTTAATCAATGGACGGGCACCCGTAGTGCCGAATATTAAAACATTGTGTGAAAAGGAAGGTCTTAATGGGATTAGCGTATTTTAACGTGTAAAATACCCGGGGGTACCGTTTAAGGAAAGAGGTATGGTAGGAATACAATATAAGGAGTATATGTGGTATATCCCGGGAGGAGGGATCAAAAATTGATTGGTACCCAGTATAAATAGTACGTCATGAGTATTTTACTCGGTAAAATACAGTAATTAAAAAAAAAAGAAGATAATAAGGAGAGTTCGCATAGCAAATTCAATTCGGAATTCCGATTGAACAATCCAATTTGTATCTGTTTTTATAGGAAAACTCAAACGTGTTTCTTATTAAATTAAATAAATAATAATTATTTGCATGAATGTTCCATCCCAAAAAACACGAATCCTCTTCACAACACAATTTTTGAAAGGCACAATAAAAGCAACGTACTTACCGAACCACCGATTCTCGAGTAATACATACCTAAATTTCTTAGACGTTTCGAAGACGCCTACTCACTTGATGCAAACCAATTCACGGCAAGAGGCAAAGCCAATTGAGTACCCAAAGCCGATAAAAAATCATCTTTATTTTTTATTTGTGTTTTGCCGGCGTAAATTCCAACAAGCATAAATGCAAATAAAGTGATATAAATTAATACGTTAGCTAAAGTTTCTGAAATTGCCATGTTTTTGTCGTTAACATTAAAATAAAAATCTTTTGATGACTATTTATAACTAAATACATGTGGACATGTGGAGGATATCGAAATTATAATGTTCCACTATCAGTATGTAATCTTTTTTTTCAAAGAATGACTAAATTATGTAATAAAAAAATTTGGTCGAAAAATAGAAAACCTACACAGAAATTGGAATACTAAAAGAATTTTTTTGGTTAGATCGGTTAGATGTACAACTTTCACGTTCATACCGATACGTTAATTACAAATATCGATATTAAGTAATAAACACAAGATTTCGGACGATACGTTACGAGCTACAATTAGGTAAGTGAGAAAACGGATAAGAAATAAGATACCAGCAATCAGAGCCTTAAAATTGTAAATATTTACAGGGCTGAAAATTTTTGTGAGAGTGTTGTTCTTGCCACAGATTGTTGAAATTTGGTATTCATATTAATGTGCATGATCTCTATCTTTATTAATTGCATCTGGTAAAGTTTTCTAATTAATACTTTCGCTGAATATTTGTTTTTGAAGTGGTTATTAACAATTATTGATATTTAGCAAAGCTTTTGAATCTAAACAAAGCAATTTAATTCTATAAAACTTCTCGATATAAAAATGTTAAGTCGCGCAACTTTAGTTGGATAATATACCTTTGAATTATTTTTAATACTTGTTTTGTAAATCTATTTGTAGGCTTCATGACTGATTAAATTTCAACGGCGATTTCTAGTTAACGTTTTTCTTTGTTCCTCTAAACTTTCGAGAAAACTCAGGCCTTGTTATTATATTAATTAATTAGTACGTTGCAATATTGTAAGAAAAATTTTAGACAAGATATGTATATCAGATTATTTTGTTTGAATCTCTTCCGTGTCATGTATTTATTTGAAGAAATTTTATAATAAACGAATCAGGACATCAAGTATAATTCAAGATTTATTTCTTGTACAGAAATTCTCAGCTTTACATAAAACTTTTAGTAACTGATCAAATATTGTAGCAAGTTGATATTTATGAATACATATACTAATTAATTTAAGATTATTTCAAAATCTTAAATATCATATTAATAGTAAACAATCTTTTGCATAACAGAATCAATTCTAATTACAATATACAATACTCGTCAGAAGTAGTCTACCCTTGATCATCTATTTCTTTATAGGCTATATCGGGCATTGGGTGTTCACCAAATATCTACGTCGCAAATACAATGAATCACCACTTTATAATAAAATATCTTGACATCCAGTGATCCAGTTCAAGCAAATGTACTGCCATTCAAATTTTCTTATCAAAACAATCAAATGGTAGTACATGTATATTCACTCAATGAATGTCAAGATATTATAGTGATGGATTATTACTTTGGGATGTAATATCTCAATATTCAGTGAGTAATTTCGAACAAAAATATTATCATTCGATTCATCTTAACTAGATAGATCGAATGGTAGTATTCTTGTTCGAAACTAATCATCGGATGTTGAAATATTACCTTCTAAAGTGATTAATTCATTTTTGTTAATGCTAAAAAATTACTCAATCACTTTAGGATGTAATTCTCAACATCTAGTAATTAGTTTTTTGAACAAAAATATTACCATTAATTCGTCTGGACAAAATGAATCGAATAGTAATATTTTTATTCTAAACTAATTACTGATGCTGCTGAGATATTGAATTATTAAACATCAAGATATGAAGATAGATTCTCATGAGTAACTAACAAGTAATTAATCCAAAAGCTAGTAAGTAATTATGATCTGGTGCAAAAAGATTGGTATACCAATATAAAATTAATAATTACTTCTAATAAAAATCATTCAAATTTTAACTAATTTTTTAATTTTTTTATATTTATAAAAAATTATCTAAATTAACTTTTTATATTATTTTATTATACTTTAATTATAAATGAAATATTAATTTAACTAAAACTAAAATTTATATGTAAAGTATATGTGTAGTGTGTAATATATAAGATGTTAGAGGGT